CAGCAATGAGGCAGTTGAGCTGTTCCTGCAGCAGCTGCAGCAGCAGCAGCAGCCGCAGCACCTGCAACAGCCGGCGCAGCAGCAACACCTGCAACAACAGCACCTGCAGCAACAGCACCTGCAGCAAAAGCACCTGGAACAGCAACACTTGCAGCAGCAACACTTGCAGCAGCAACACTTGCAGCAGCAACACCTGCAGCAGCAACACCTGCAGCAGCAACACCTGCAGCAGCAGCACTTGCAGCAGCAACAGCCGCAACAGCAGCAGCAGCAGTTACCGTTGCGATCGCCGTCTCAATTGCTGCCTCAGCTGTCTCAGCTGCAGCTCACGCAGCAGCTGCCCCAGCAGCAGCAGCAACAGCATCATCTGCAGGAGCAGCATCACCTGCAGCAGCAGCGGCTGCAGCAGCAGCAGCAGCAACAAGAGCAGCAGGATTCGGTTGGCGCTCTGAAGTTGCCAGCCAGGCGATCCCCTGCTGCGCTATCCAGAGGAGATGGCCTGCAGCAGGGGCGCGCAGCAGCAGCAGCAGCAGCAACAACAGCTGCAGCAACAGCAACAGCGGCACCTGCTTCGCCTGCAGCTACCGGCATCCCGTCGCTGTCTCTGGCCATTCAAAGGCCAGAGCCCCCACCGCCACCACAACAGCTGCAGCAGCGAGAGCAGGAGCAGCAGCAGCAGCAGCAGCAGCAAAGGCAGACGGGTGACTGGAGCAGCAGCACTCGGCGCTCTATGCTGCTGCCTGTTGAGTCCTTGGGTTCTGCGTCTCTGCCTTCAGCAGCAGCAGCTGCTGCTGCATTAACAGCAACAGTAGCAGCAGCAAGAGGAGCTGCAGCAACTGACGTAGGCAGCCCCACATCTGCTGCTGCAGCAGGTGTTCCCCCACGGCGGCTGCTCATGCGCGCGCAAAGCAGCAGCAGCACCGCCTCTATAAGCCTACAGGAACCGCAACAGCAAAGCCCGCCTCGGCTCGCTCGAAGCGGCAGCAGCAGCAGCAACAGCAGCAGCAACAGCAACAACCGCAGTAGCAGCAGCAGCGACCTCCCGAAACTATCAGGCCCTGCTCCCGCGTTGCGTCCAGCAGGAGAAGCAGCAGTAGCAGCAGCAGCTGAAGCATACGGAGCCCCATTGCTGCTGCCGCCCCCTCAGGGAGGCCCAGCAGCAGCAGCAGCAGCAACAGCAGCAGCAGCACCTGCAGCAGCAGAAGCACCACTTCCTGAGAAGTGTCTGTCTAGGGAGTCTCTCTTTGATCACCAGTCCTCTACAGCTGCCTGCACCAGAGACAACAGCGGCAGCAGCAGCAACGGGAACGGCAGCAGCATCGGCAGCAGCAACAACCACAGCAGCAGCAGCAGCAGCAGCCTCGCAGAGCTGCCATTGTTCCAGCCTCAGCCGCTGCTGCGCCGCAGCCGCCTGAGCGACACACCAACGTCGCCTGCTGCTCCTGCAACATCAGCAAACAACTGCAATAGCGGAAG